AAGGAATGAATGAATGAATGAATGAGGATTTGATGTCTTATATAGGTAAAGTACGTGTGTATTATAGCGCGGGAAAATAAGGCGAGATATTGGAGGATATAAGATCAAGGAAGATCATGTAGTACAATTGGAGGCAAGGATGGGAACGAATATGCAGTACAAAATGAATCATTTGACTGTACTATTGGTTTAAACGGGGGCATTATAATTGACGCAATGAACATGTATTAAGACAGTAATATTACATCTATGAATATATGTATATGTATATATTTAAACACTTGACCAGTTAATAATATTTCCTCTTGAAATTTCGCGGCTTTCGCGACAAATGCTCTAAATACTAAAGCTCGATTAGATGGGCGCGTAGTGTGCTACCTAATTTTTCTGATCCTAATTTTTTGAGTAGTAATTGTGTTTAATCACAAATGAATCAGAACCTTTTTGATTATTTCGAAATAGATTTTTCAAGAATTTCTTGGAAATCTTTTGTTCTAGACTCATTTCTGCGCACAGACATTATCCAAAAAGCAGCAGGTACTGATTGCTCTGGAATCAAAACAGGTTCATGTGCACTGTGAGAACATTGTGCTTGGCTCACTACTATGCAATGATATTGTCAAGAAATCTTTGGAAACAACGCTGGAACCCAATTCTTGAGAAATAAATACTGCTAATTTTTCTTACTTCCTTTTGCGAGGGGAAGATCGGTAGTACCATTATCACTTATCTTCAGTTGGACAACTTCGCGAAGAGCTGTCTTCACAAATAGATATTTCGCAGTCAACGGATAAGAATTATCTCATTATTAAATTCTCCCGGTTAGTAAGAGCTTCTGTTGCTTGCATAAGTAGCTTTGTGGTAGGGCTAACACTTTATCATTTGTTGTGTTACTATCAGTTTAAGGTATATCCATTTCATGCTTCATACTTGCAGTTTTTATAGTGATAAAATTAAGCTCTGAACAAATAAAGCACGCAACATCGCAGTGATGCACCTCACTCCTTGCTCCAAACAGCAAACGGATTATCATTTCAAAACTAGTTTACATTATAGTTTACTGAAGATAGACACAGATCAATTATGACCCTTATGGAGTATCAACAACTTAGTAATTGATCGGAGGCTGTTGAATGTATTTCGGTCAATTAGTCCTGTATCTGTTTAAATATGTCGGAAAATATAAAATGCTTTCATGTTTCTAAATTTCCATTCTGGTATGTACATTGTGAGAATACTTAATGAGAGCACTATATTTTCAGTTTTTTTCAATAAAGAATTTTCTAAACTTTTATTTCCATAGATTCAAGCACTCTCCTATCTTTTCTCATCACTGAGTTGTTTCCAATCAAAAAAGCAATCTCAATAACCAAATTTTCATAAGTTAAAAAAATGAACTCATCAAAAACAGTTTAAAATTATGGCAATAATTCATGCATATACACGAGGCAACAGTTTACAATGTGAAAAACAGGCACAACTTTTTCTTCCGATTAATAAATAAAAATTTAATATAGACTTTGGAAATCACGATAAGTATCAGCAGTGTAAACGCAATTTCTTTTTAAGTATAGGATGTCTTGGTTGCGCATGTATCCTTTTCAATGTATTAATGAGAACGTAACGACTGAACAGCATATACAAATAGCGAAACCATACTAGCTGGGAGCGATGGGCCCACATCGCACGCCAAGCTGTGATGTATAATAGCGGTGAAGAGATGTAAAGAAATGTTGAATGGAAGGAACTGATCAGAGCATCCAAAAATATCATGTACTTTCTCCAAATTGATACACTTTCCAAGACGAAAATCTAAAAATATTGTCACATCTCTTTTCGTATAAATTTATTATCTGAAGTGGGTGGACTTTCACTGAATTATTCCTACACGGAGATAGGTCTGGATTCGATTTAATTTACTGGTTTTCTTTCTGAACAAGAATGGTGATGCAAGCAAGGCATATGTAGCTCTCTTTCAACTTCAACTATTCCTCAATGTCTTCAAAAATTCAAATGATTTTCAGTTGTACTTAAATTTCACCTCCAGTAAAACTCCCATTTATTCCAAGAATAAAAATTTGCAATTTCAGTGATTACCTGTACTCCTGCCGGAATCAGACCAATTGTGTAAAGATACTGCAATGCACGAAAGCATCCAATATGATTCGGATGAGCACTAACACCACCTTCATCAAAGGTGATTACCAAGTCGACATCAAGCATTTGGATATGTCTCAAGATCACTTTAGCCAACTCTTCCTTGGACCATTGGATAAATCCATCTTGGAAATTATCATAGTCCAGGACGGTCAGATTATCGAGTGATAATCCGTGAACGGTGAAAGCGCTAGCCAACTCGTACTTACGTATTACACCCAGACCATTAGAATTACCCGTAGAAATGCAAAGCAAATAAATATTTGACCCAGAAAGTCGCAAGCCATGAAGAGTTGGAGTAAAAAACATTGTTTCATCGTCAGGATGAGCAATAACCAGCAATGCCCTTCGACATCTTGGCAAACTTCGTCGTTTTGCACGATTGCATAATAGCGAAAACAATAATAAAAATGTAACAGTACAGAAACCAAAAAGTGGAAGGATCATTCAGGCGGTAGAATTTGGCGATCTTTACCTTTCTTCCTTGGAACTGCTTGCGGTTTCAAGAATCTAGAATAGCAAAGAACTCAATTTATTAATTAAGAATTGCTTCATTGTAATGAAGTGATAACTGTTTAAAATCGAAATAAGACGTAGCATGTTCTAAGAGCTCAAATGGGCTAAGAAATTGCCATATACTAACCAATTAAGACCAGCTGATTCTAACTGTTAGTAATCTAACTACGGAGTAGCTCAATGGTTTAACGACCGTATCATGAACTTCCTACTGCATGTCTTTCTAGTCTGTAGCAGAACCAAAATCATACAGAAAGTTCTAAATATCTAGTCCGTATATTCATTGTACAGACAACTAATGCAAAGTGATTTATTGTGGCGTGATTTCGCCAATAGAAATTTCGACCAAAAAATTTCGCCAATAAAAATCTCGGTTTCAAAACAGCCTGACCCTCACCGCCATAACCAAATGACTCGTAATGCGAATATGATTGAAAAAAAATAAGCGATAGATGTGAGAATCAAACCAAAATTTAGATTTTACAACAGAAAAACTTTGACAATAAATCTTTGCGGTCGGTTCCATACTGCTATCCTCGTAAATATGGGAAGCATTGCTACGAGACAGTTGCTCACACTCATCTAAATCTTTTATCGTGATCAGGTATAATCACGGCGAGATCATGATAACACTAAAAGATAGCTAAATGACAGGACTTGCTTCAGTAGCAGAAAGACCAAATTGAGGAACAAAACAACTCAAACGCGGTACACGCCATGTATTTGAACCGTCAGATGTTTTTTATCACCTTTTGTATTCCGCTCTGTGTCTTTCAATTTCATTTTTATCTCTTCTTCTCTTATTACTTAATTGACATTCTTCATTTGTTTCCAAGAATTTGTTCTAAGTGATATGAGCCTCGGGATTTCAAAATCCTTATCCAGCATATCTGGTAGTTAATGTATTTTGATACGAAAAGATTACTTATAATGACAAAGACGCTTCATGAAACATTATTTTGAAAATTGAAATACCTCAGAAAACGTTGTAACGCTTTCTCCTCTATCAATACGAAAACGGTCACCGCACAAGTTGACCATTTTTTGGCCGAACTGTTGCGGAGTATCAACTTGGAGTGCTGTGGATACGGAGATAATGAATAAACCAACACCGGATACTGACAAAACAGTGGCAATACCGAGTGCTCGTACTCCAAGCGCAAATCCACTCCGAATGTTTTTCAGTTGTTGACCTTTGGTGTGTCGATATGCGGATCGTAAAGCACAACCAAAAAATGATCCGAGTGCAAATGCACTCACTAAAAAAAAATTTTCTTTGTGGAGATAAAAAATGACAAGTTATCCCTTCCTCATCGAGGCCACGAAAATAATATATATATATATAATATTATTTCTGGTCCAATATCAGTAAATCATATGACCCAATTAGTCACAACAGTTATTACTATTTAATGTACTGTCTGCAAACAACAAAATGGAACGCAGGATAGGCAGCTGTTTTTTTTACGAATAAGGAATGACAAACATGGAGGAATTTTTCTTCCCTCTTTCTTCTTTCGTTTTTTTCCGAATTCATCAATGACAGATTTGTAAGAGGATTAGTCGAAAAACAATAAACAACCAACCAAAACACTTGAAAATGTGGAAGGTAAAGAAGTTTTTTTCGAGGCATTGCTAAATGCAAAATGCAAAGACAGAGAACCGGTATATCGCGAATCATTTTCTACTTGCTGTTTGTAAGAAAAAACACCTAGCAAGAGTTCTTTAACAATTAATGTGGAAATGAACTCAGAATAAAGTTGACCTAGTGTACTTAACCTAGAGTAGATGTATGTGTAATTAAATAACAAAGTGGAATGAAAATCTTTAACAAGTGTAGAATTCAAACACATCAAACACAGGTGGAACGAAGGCTGATCGATATCCAAGGATTTAAGATTTCATCCCTATTTGATTTTATGGAGATTTAAATCAAATCCACAAGCGCAATCGTCAGAATAATGCGAAATGCGATTCTCTAATTTAAATGAACCATACGTTCTCTGCCATGAAAGAATTTGTGACAAGGAGATGATATGGGAAGATAACTTCCAGTATGAAGGAATTCCTCGAGAAATATATAATATATTTTTATGAATAAATGGAATTATTAATAGTGCTTTAGCTCAGTTATTACACATTACTATTCAACTCTGGTTGTTTGTAATTCAACACACAAAAGAAATCTATACAATTTGTGAGAGTAATACTTAATGGAAAAGTATTGAGAAGAATGTAAGAGAGTTAGTAAATCGAAATATTTGAGAGGATTCCTTATGTTCGTGGGATCCATTGAGATGTAAAATGACAGATGTAAAATGACAGATTCAAATCGAAAATTGCATTTCATATTATCAAACAAAGTAGCAAAACATTCTGAATCGAAAGAAGCGTTTGAGCAATAAAATAAATACAGAGCCGATATCAGCTTGGTAACACTAATTTCTTATTGTTGAAATAATTAATTCCCAACGAAATTAAAATGGAATACGATCTAAACATCTCTAAAAAAAAGTCTTCGGTTTAATTCTATTATTTACATTTCAATTCTTATTTTTTTCTTTATTTTTCCGAAGGTGAATTTTAATCTGATTATTTTGGATCAGACACTGTCCATAGTTATGTTTCTCTCACGAAACTAGAAGTATTCGATGCATTGCATTAGACATCATTCAGACTGCAGTTGTTTTGTAGAGCAACATACATTCCTCATATACTTTTTTCCAGTACTAAATTCAAAGCATTTGTTGTTCCGTTCAGGAAAAGGTTTTTTTTTCAAGCAACTCGTCATGAATATGAAGTAAATACAAACAATCGAAATCGCTCTCATTACAGTAAATCTTAATCAGAAAAAATGAGAAAGCTGTGACAAAAAAATATCAATTGGATGTATGTATTTTTGCAGGCGAATCGCGGCTTATAAATTTACTTATAGAAATAATATTATCATTAATCTACGTTGATATTAGTAGCATTATCACTGTCTGCGTTCAAGTGATTATATGATGTGCACATTAATTATTTAAGAAGATGGATTAGGAAATTTGAAAAACAGTCCAAGGACAGCCAAACATATGGAACATGCAGAAGATTATCAAAAAAAATCCCATCATACAGCAAAAAATAGCATTACCCTTGTGCACCTCAAACAAGCAGACGTTTTGAAGAAAAAGGTTTTTTTTTTTTTTTAAAAATAAAGTGAAAGAGACAATGGATAAACGCAAACAGAGTCCATATAAATGAGAACACTTTTTTGAAAAACACTGACTCCACAGTAAACCACATGATGTTACCACCAAATACTTCCGTATATATAAATGGGCTATCAGTATACCCCACTAGCGTTAGTCAAATTGCAAAAAATTCAATTATAAATTTCTCAGCAGATATCTTCTTTAATTGTCAATAAAATTAATGAAGCAACCTACAAAGTTTAATTTTTGCCGGTGTAAGGATAAAATTTGCGAAATATGTTTCAAAACTCTTTAGAGATTTGCTCTCTGATACGCCACTAACAACAGTCACTTTTGCAACTGCATTCTCCATGCAAGATGATCGTTCGAACAAGTTCGACAAAAGCGATCAACAACGACACTTTTCAACCTGCAATTTAAAACAAATAAATGATAGGGAAATGCGGCGATTGCTTCCAAATCGGGCTTCAATTTGAGTAAATTTTCAGAAAGGAAGAAATAGTTGCATACAGAGTACAAATAATGGAACATCTGGCAATTTTGAGGGAACATGAAATTGAATGTGTAAACAGAACCAACCACTCCTGATCAGTCTCATTAAAATACTACATAGCAAAGTGAAGTTAATTTTCGATCTTTGAAATATCCCAATTTAAAGGAATAACAGAAAACTAAAGATGTTATGTATTTCAGCAACAATAACACACAATACATAACTATGCAACCACTTTTGACATTTATTTGAGCAAGCCGTTAGTTAGTAGTATACAAAAACAAGAAAATTAACAACAAGTCTAAACATTTAATTTTTTTCTCTGTAAAAGTAAATCACAAATGCCCACCTCTTGCATTTTTGATTCACACTGTCGCCATAGTCGACACACTACTTCGATATAAATTTGTCTCAGTTAAAAGAACTAGCACTTCCAAGCCTACCAATTGATGACACCACAAAATTTGAGCCTAATTCTTCAAATCTGAGCCATGGCTTAAGAACTCCGGACCTAGGCACCCTCAAGAACCACTCACGTTACAAGTGAACACAGCATGCAGGAAGTAGCTCTCTCTAACATAATTACATAATTCGAGCGTACGTCGCCCGAATTGGCGGCTTGTTAGTTTTCTAAACAGATGGGTGAAGTCCGCTGTCCTCGAGGGATTGAGAGTTGTTGGTTATTGGTTACCTGTGGGGAATGACCTTTGGCTTAGGCGATAGGCAGTTGTTTTTCTTATGACTATACTTTAAGTGTATGTGTTGAAGGAGGTGTGATCAAAATTTGTGATTAGCAAAGATGCCTCCAAAAACGACGCGGAAAAAAGATTATTCATCGAGTGATAACATCGAAATGGTCGGAAAGTACCAGCTGTGGATGTTAAAGGCTGAAGTTGGTGAAACCATTGCCGGTTCCCCAAATTCCGATGAACTCACACATCAGGAAAATCTTTTCCAAGTTTGTTTTGAATTTTTTGATGCCATTGTTTTATCTCAACTTTCCGGATAAAATGCCTATGCGTCTTGAGAAATAACTCCATTTCATATTTCCTTTAGTATGTAAATAAAGAATTGAATTGCGATTGTGACAGGGCTAAAAAGAAAGGGTGACAGAAAGAAATGTGTTTAATCTTAAAATTAATTGGACTCATTGAGATATAGATCACTCAATTAAACGATTGTGGAAAGTGAAACCATGTGGAAACAAGTCTTTAGATGTTTTTCCTTCATTTAAAATTTGATTCTCAAATAATTTTTAGAAGTAAAATATAAGGTTCTGCCATTGACTGCGTTTCATGAGTATCGTGAGTTGAAATTGTTGGGCGATCAACTATCTAAGAAGCATCATTACATTTTATCTATGAGAATTAAATAATCCAAGTTGCCAATCATATAACTAGCACATGAACTAAGAAGCGATGTTATAAACTTTTTTAGAAAAGGCAATTGATTTGCGCTTTTATTCGTCGCTAATATGTGACATAATAATGACTGGCTGCCCTTCATTCCTGTTATTGTAGTGGGTTTTATTCGGTACGACATCAGAACTCATTTCTCATTTTAGTATTTATCAATTCATTTGATTTTCGATGTAAAAATGAACTTGAGAATTTAGTGATGATATTATTAAAAGTCTTTTTTCCCTACAGCGATGCCCTACTTTTCTTTTATTTTTTGCAATAATCTTTCACTTGCTTAGGTTTTTTCCTCTAAAACGAGGTTTTTTAATTTTTATACCTTCATGAAACTTTATAAGCCATAATTTAATGTCTTTGAAGATGCTGGAGGGAAAATCATTGAATCCGAAATGGATCACAAGCAAAAATTGTCTAGAGCGGAAGTTCGAATGTGATGACTTCTACGTGTTGCCTGCCTTCAGGGGCAAACTATTTAATCGTTTAATTTCTTTAAAGTGCAGGTATTTCTCCATGAATCAGTTGGATTTTTCAAGAGATTTATAAATTTTGCATTAATAGGATATACTTAATGCTTTGATCATGACGTCCATGCAATTATCATATGTATATATGATAACAATCAGGGTATACGGAGCGTTAGCACTTATAACATGTTTGAAAAGAAAAGAACGTCTTCCAAAACGACACTCACCCATCTGGTCTACAACTCTGCAAGGCTCCATTGTGTGCTTCAGTGGAATCGAAATGAAAACACGGGTTTACTTTCTGTAGTCTATTTTCTTTACCATATTTCAACTTCTATTTTTTCTTGTTATGAATTTGCATTTTTCAAATGGGAAAAAAGGATTGGCTAAAATTAAATCGGACAAATACCACTAGTATTTATTTGTAAAATGCTTCATTTTTACGGACTTAATTTGTTTATTATTTTAGCAACATCAAATTTTGCTTGTGAAGATGATGGGTGGGACGATTTCTAAAGCTTTTACGAAAAAAGTCACCCATTTAGTTGCTGATTCTCAGGACACAGAATCTAAAAAATTTGTTGTTAGTTATTCTGTTTTTCAGATTTTAATACATATTATTTCAGAGTAGTAAAAAAAAAGGATTTACGAGCCTTTCCCGCAAACGCTGAGTTAGTCTGCAGAGTCGCCATCACGGACTAAAAAACAAACCATTTCTATGCACATATTATCTTAATGGCTAAACCTAAAGAATTCGCAACATAATGAAATATCTTTCAGACTGCTGTAGACTATGCAGTTCCAGTACTTTCGGCCAGCTGGATATTTGCGGCATGGAAAAATGCAAAAGCGTTTAATGAAGCAAAATATACCGATGAACAGTTTATCAGCGAACATAAGCTCCAAATTTTTGTTAAATGTGTGAGTCCATTTTTTTCAATTATCATTGAATGGAATTTCCATTTAATAAATATTCAAATACAGCAATGTTATTAGGAATAGCTATTAATATCGGTATCAGGTGAAAACACGGAGTAGAAAAAACATAATTTGAATTTTCAAATTAATCAAGAACAGCATAAAATTAAGATGAGTATTCGTAAAGGACCAATACTTAAATATATATCTGAATAGTATAAAGCAATTGTTCATAGTCGGCATAATTAATTCAGGTTATAAGCTGCTCAGGTATATCTCCTCAAGATCGGTCAACACTTTCGCGCCTTATTGAAGCAAATGGTGGTGTCTATACTGGAAATATGAAAAAAAATTACTGCACTCATTTGGTGACCGATTTAAATTCGGGTGAGAAATATAAAATTGCTCGGAAATGGGGCTGGAATAAAATCAGAATCGTTCGTTTGCGATGGGTTACAAAAAGTGTAGAAAAGGTATGTTCATTAAGAAATTGGAAAATACCGATTTTTTCTTCTTTTATGGAGGTTGTTGCTGCTATGAGCAGTTATTACTCTCACTATTTTTTGCATAATTTTAGGGATATCGTCTTCCTGAAAGACTTTACGAAACGAGAATCAATTCTGCTGATGAATGTAATACACCACGGACTTCACAGCTTACTCAGTTTCAACCACTTAGAAATCTAGAAATTAGTGTTATTCGTCGCTCAGCTCATCAGCAGCAAACAATGAGTAAACGTTTAATTTGTTTTTCCAGAGTTTTTAAGCTTTTTTTAAGTGAGGAATAGTAATTTTATAACTAGAATTGTAGAAAGTAATTCCATTTCAATTTGACTCTATTACGAATTTCATTATCTTATTCACTACAGGACGAGATCTACATATAAACATGTAACTGTTTTACAAGCAAACAATTTCTAAGTGGAAAAAAAAGCTTTACACGGAATTAGTTATAGATGTATCGGGAGGTAATAATGGACTTGTGTCAAACGCTGCTCCACAGATGTACTTAACGCAAACTGAAAGTGCTGCAGCAGAAATAAATAAATCAACCGTCATCGAAAGGTTTCTTTTCATTATTTGCATTTTCCATACTCTTCAATGTTTGTTTATAAAGAAATGAAAATGTTGAGTAAAAATAATTATGGCAATTCAAATCATTTAAAACAAAGATTACTTACAGATAATCACTAACAATTTGATTTGATATCTGCTGTGAAATCTTTTTCAGAAAGCCCAAATTCAATCGTATGAATCTTATATTGACATGCACCTCACTGAATGACCGTAACGTTTTTATGGTCCGGATAATTTATACAAGTTTTATGTTTAAGTTTCAAGTTTTATTTACTGGTCACAATTTCATTACAATCTTTACAGCAATTCGTTTAAAATGAAACCATCGCAGCGAACAATGACGGAAATGGATCCCATTGTACTCTTCGACTTAGATGCTCTTCGCTTTAATGATTTCATGAGTGTAGGCTTTTTTTCTCTGAGAAAATTGTCTTTGAAAATTTTCCATCATTTTTTAAGATAACTTGTTTATTTTTGTGCTGAACTGCTGAAGATTTTATTTGGAATTCTGTGAAATATTTTCAATAATTTTAAAAATTTATTTTTTTATGAACTTTGCAGATCATTGCTTCGTCTGTTTTTTAAATAATATAATATCTCATTTCAATTTAAGAATTGTATCATCTATTTGTGTGGAATAGAGGATGGAAATTTCAAAAAATACAAATGGCTTACTAACAGAGTTGGATCGGGTCGACGTGACAGGCTTGTGTACACTGATACTACTCATGTGGTAGTTGGTCCACAAAGACTGGACTGGAAGTTGATTAAGCAGGTTTTTAGTTTTCAAACACTAACAAATGCAGTTTATTGAGTAACAGTAGACTTCCCAAGACTTCCAGAGTGATGCATTTGATTTATATCAGATTCTGATTTGACAAAAATCAAATCCATATTCTAGAAGTTTCTGTAGGATCACAACAGTTACTCCATAATGCATTTAATAGAGACAGATGATTCGAAACACATACAATTTATTTAGCGAAAAAAGGAATGGCTCACAGTTACTTTGCTCATGAAAGCCGTTATATGCCATATTCATTGTTACTGGACTGCTGTTTGGTTATCCGTTAACATTGTTCATAAAATTTTTATTTGCAGCTCGAGGAAAAAGCACGCAGTAATGTGAAAGTGGTTACATGTGAATGGTTGTTGGATTGTGCCAAAGCACAAATAATTTTGGATGAATCAGATTATTTGATTTTTAAACAAGAAAAAAACAGTCTTGGGCATTCGCAACAGAGATTAAATGTAGCGGCTATGAAAGAACTTGATTATAACGATGAACCGAAGACGGAAATTACATTGAGAATTACTGAAGTAGAACTATATCTTATTCAAGAATTTTAGATTATTAGTTTTCAGTTTTATCGAAATCAGAAGAAATGTTTCTAACAGAGATGGATTTTTTCGTTTTTGCAAATCTTTCCTTACTTGATGTTGATTCTATCTGACTTTGAAGGATGAATCTTTCCTGGGTGTATCATTCATTGAGAACTAATCTTTTTCTTCAAATTCAACTCAGCTTTATTTCTGAAAGCTACGTGTAGTATTGTAGTCTTTGTTTTATTTATTTAGAAAAAGACACAATCTTTTAGATCTCGTTTAGAATCACATTTACTTTTCTTACTCGCGCTGTTGACTTATTTTTATACCTTATATCTCAAAATTATTGACTTTTTGAGCTAAATCAGCAATCGTTATTCCAGGTAGGAACTAAACTGTTAGGTAAAGCAGTTGGAATGTTGAGGGATGCTGAACTGGATTCTACAGAAAAAATTGTTTGGGAAAGACCAGTAAGCAGTGACGATGAAGCTGACAAAGATAGTCGTTATTTGTTCGCTGGATTGTCCTTTCGCATTGTTGTTAAAAAAGAAGAAATTCGAGATAAACTGTTTTCTGTTATTGAAAGTCACAGAGGTAACAATATTTTTGTAGCAATGTATGCAGCTATGCAAAGAATAGTAGAACTATATTGAACTGTATTGGACGATATGGCATCTGGAATTTTAAACTTTGTTGATCATTAATGAATAAACCTAGCAATCTCAGTGATAGTTTTTCAGGTAAAGTAGAGCGAAAGACGAAAATTTGGGTTGATTATATGGTATGTGAAGTGCTGGATTATTTGCTCAATGACAGTACAACGAATTTCAATTGTGGTAGTGTTGTTTCGTCGTTTTGGCTGGTATGCAATTTTCGTATTTTAATCAAAAATATAGATTACTGTCTCTTGTTTATTTTCCTTGTACTTTTTTATGATGAATTTCATGTTCCTGAGGTTTGATTCTGACATATAGTGGAATCAAATCTAAAAATAAATAAAACTTATCTTTGTCTTAGAAATGGAAATGACACGAAAATAAAGTTTGAGCTCGTGTTTAAGGATGATCAATTTTTGAATATTTGTGTACAGCCTCACTTCACTTTCTTATATTTTTTTTTATTAATTTCTCTTAGAATGCGACGTATGTATATGAGCTCGAGTATAAATTTAGGGGAACTAATAAGAAAGTTGAAAAGATTTTTAAGTCTTTACAAAAAAAGCTGGGTATTTTTTACTTAAACCTCAGGGCACACTTAGTTGCAGGGATATTTATAATGTGGAGAATATTTTTCATTAGTTTCAATCCATTCAACTTTACTCATTAATTTTTTAATTATAGCAAGAATGTATTAAAAGAAGTGCAATAATGAATGCCGAAAAGCACCCACTTTATCGACCTATCGAGGCATATGAAACTTCTCAGATTTTTGATGGGCACGTTGTTGGTTTGACTATGTTGCCTGAAGCTGAAAAGGATATTTTTACTAATGTTCTGTACAAATTTGGTGCGGAGTAGGTTTCTTTTTCAGTTTTCAAGTTTTATGTCGTAAAGATCTGCTGAACCGTAGTGGTTTTGTTGCATTCTGAATATGATCATATTTCAGTTTTTCAAAACTCACATATCGGTTTCCTTAGTGTTTAATTTGTTCTTTTGCATCATTTATTTTGTAAATGATAAAATAAAATTTGTAAAAAAAATTATTCTTTTTTATTTAAAATATTTTTCAGTGTGAAAAATCATTTGGGACAGGTTAAGCAGTTAAATATCTGTACCGAAATAGTAACCGGTGCTGAAACTAATCTTACTGAATCTGCACGTCACTGGCAAATACCTGTCTTAGACCCATCTTGGATCATCGAGTCGATCATTAAGGTAATGAATTAAAACTTTATTGCAGTGCGAAAAACGAAAGATTCCAAATATTCGCTTTTCCCTTACTCATTTTTAATTCTAGAATCAACTGCAATCAGTGCAGCTGCATTTGTTTCACGATCAAATATTCAAGAATTACACACGGAATGACCGATTATGGATACATTCTATGCAAGGAAAACCAAGCGTTGATGAATCAAATATGTCGGATAAAACGACTAATAATAATGAGCTGCTCATTCGAAAAACTTTAAACAAAAACGAAAAGGAGGAAAGTCCCCAATATTGTGAAATGAATATACTGCAGCACAATTCAATCGAAAATGCGGAAAATATGAGAAGAATTGAGGATCGAACATTAAAAATATTAGATCAGAATGTACTGGGCGATGAAAATGTTGGTGATATTGATTCGTTTTTGTATTGTATGAACATTATCCTGTCTTTGAGAATGTCTACTAAAATATGGACGCAAATAAATGGCTCAGTTTCGCAAAATAAAGAAAAAAAATTTTTTTTGGATTGGAACTCAATAGAGAGAGTTAGCAGAAGGTATTTGAAATGAAACTATGAGAAAATGATGTTTTAATATTTCTTTGCAGCAGTATGCGGAGAAAAATTCTCAAAAACAGATAAGTAATAATTTGGCAGCGGTTTTGGATCTTGCCGATGCATTTGCTTATGTCGATGGAATAAATACACAAAGCACATTAGGTATTTCATCAGGTGGAGAAATTTGGGTAAGTTTTTGACGTGAAGAATTTTAATTTTGTTTTATTTGATTTTAATATAATAAGCGTATTTGATTTAGTTTGACGCAAGTGAATAAATTAGGAAAGCAAAAATAGCTAATCATGCAGCAACGAAAGAATGAATGGTGGAGTATAGTCTGTCCTTGTAACATTCATTCTAAAGGGTTTAGACTTGTTCAATTCCATGACTGCTTACAGTTATTCAATTATTATGTTTTCAAATGGCAAGCAGTTTATGCAAATATATTTTTTTATCTTAAAGATCTTTAATACATTTATTTTTTATGTCTTCAAACTATAAATCTTTAATAATTGCAGAATGATACAGCAGTAGGATGTGCTCTGGGTGAAGCAGTAGTTAAGACCGCTCAGGCAAGTAAGGTTCCCTGGACATCATCCATTAAGCAAGATAATGATTATATTCGCATGCAGGTAGATTTTATATGTTACCTTGCTTATATAACAAATCTAATAGTTGAGTATAATAAGTGAACAAAATTTCGAACATTATTCTCATAGTAATATTTCGTTTTTTCTGTGTTGCTTTTCCCAGAGCTAGTAAAGGATAAGACAGGAAAATACTAGTCAAAATCATTGAAGTTTGTGTGTACATAGCTTGGGATTTTAATGAGTAGCAGTATGACCATCATTTTGAATACTTGAGCTTTCTAAAAAGCCAAATTCGATTAGATCCATAATTTTTCTTTAAAATTTCTATAACTTTATAGACCAGGCAAAATAAGAGAAATGCCGAATCAATCTTATCGATTGGAACTGTGGAAAATCCTAAAAAGGCTAGGACAATAGTTTTTGAAAATCATTGCGAACAAGTTATCTCAAAAGACGAGAAAAAGTTTGTCAACATATTTTTGGAATAACTTTCAAATAATTCCTACACATATTAAGTGATGAATTTTATATTTAAATTAATTTCAAATCTTTAAGCAGTTTAAATTTGAAGGAAAAGGATAGCTGAAAAACTGGCTAAACTTGCTGTACAAAGGGAGAAGTATATGCGATCTAGAGAGGCTGAAAAAGAAAAGCAACGTGTATGTGATTTTATTTGTTCTTGTGAAAAATGAAATAGAGTCTTTTTAATTTATTGCAAGTTGGTATTATTTGTCTACATGCGGTAGATTAAATCTCTACTTTTCAAAAAATCACCGAACTTCAATCATTTCCTTTTTCAGGAGCAAGAAAAGGAAGCAAAAGCACATGTTCCTGTAGAATCTCCAAAACGAAGTGCTAAAAAAAGATATGTTAAACCACCTGAACCGGAATATTACGGGTGGAAAGAAAGTAGTCCACGTCCGTAAGCTTTTGTATTAGTGCTCTTTGGTATTTTATTTGTATTTTATCTATTAAAAACAGTGTTTCAAGATGTATTAAGAAATTATGAAATGATATTATAATCAAATCATTCCTCTCATACGGTTCTGAGTGTCGTCAACAGTAGATTGTTACCTGTTTGTGATCCCCATAATTATAATGTCCTTTTTAGCATTGCAACACAGATACTCAACCCTTTCGATACAGATCTAGTAAGTTTTTGCGGATCGAAAATAATTTTTTGAATTCAATTTACCATTCTTTTTTTCAAAATTTTGTTCTTGTTAAGCTGCTATGATCGGAATTTTCTGAGTTATTTTTTTTGGTAGCATTTTGAATATTGTTTTGCTACAAATTTGTTATCAGTCAAGTAATACATAGATAGTGACTTAACGATTTAATGGCAGAGGGGATGGAAAAGTTAAGAATAATAGGAAGAGCAAAATGAGTTAAATTTCTTATTGAATTTTTCAAGGAAAATTTGTTTTTATCTATAGGAAGAGAACAATGAAAAAACACTTGCGCTTGCTGGAATGGAAGAAAATCAAGGGAATAAAATAAGGTGTTAATTCACGTGAATCATACTTATCTTTTTTTCCTTTTTGCACCATTTACTAGCATAAAATTATAAAGTTGTGGTGACTGTGGATATGTTCATAATTCGAACAGAGGGTAAAATGAATTATTTTCATCTGATTTTTATTTTTATTTCCATAGAATAGTGCACTTTTTTTGCTATGCAAAACCAATCTAACGTTCAGCTTGTTTTGAAAAAAACGATATCGTCATTAAAGCTTGGTTTGACTCTTTTTGGACATACATTTGATTTTAAGCACTGCGGAAGAAAACGAAAACGCCATTACAGTAAAAACACTCGTTATACCCAATAAGACAATATGTTTCACTTCAGTTGTGCAGCATGTAAGTCTCACTGAAAAAATTCAATCATTTTTTTTTTCTTTTTTTATGATAGTGCTAGCAATTTAAGATCTTCTGACACACTAGATATTTGAAAACTTGATAAAAGTTTCACTGCGAGTCCAAAATGAAACTTGAATGTAAATTGTAGAAAATCCATTTAGATATATAATTGTTTGTCATTTAGAAGGTCTCAGTTGTGGTTTGTGCAAAAGTTTGTATTCATGCATCATTTTAGTTATTCTTGAAAAATCAAATCCATCGTTTTTTTACAGGATAGGAATGCCTTAGTGACTATGGTTCAGCAGTTAGGTGGAGAAGTATGCAATGAATTCAGCGAAAAGGTAACCCATCTGGTCTGTGGTCGTATAGTGCGTAATGAAAAATTGCTTTGTTCCATTGCCAAGGGACTTGTAATTGTGGACGAGGATTATGTGATCGATTCCCATGCACAATCAAAATGGCTTGAGGTTAGCAATGATCAAATTAATTACTCTTCAACCTAACTAGTGGTCCGGATTCTATTTAATAAAAAGTAACATCGAGAGCTACTACTAAGAGAGAATGGAATCCATATATGGGTTCCATTTTTGGTCTAGTATTTCTTTTTGCTTCGAGAACCGTTGCCTTTCCTTTTTTCATTTGATAATTTTGTATTTATTCTTAACATCTTTCCTTTTATCGAAAATTTACTTTCGTTGTAGAATTAATCCATCTCTGCGTGTGGTGCTCCTAAAATCATTCAATAATGCTCTATTGAAAAAGTTTTTGCAGTAAATCTAAACTAGTATCTAGTCCACTTAAATTGAGACTGAAGTCAGATGATTTGAGAATTAAGGGAATATTCAAATTTTGATCATTTAAACAAAATTTCGATAAATGGAGTTAAATTTAAATTAATGAAGTTTGTAAGAAAACCTCCCTCTAATGTAATGAAATGCCGATTGGTTACGAATTTTAAACTGCTTCGCAAAATCTGCAGAGTAGTAGAAATTATCTTGAATTTTTCTAGATCGATAATTACGAATGGGGAAGTGTTCATTCGCTGATCAAACACCACCTCCTCTCATCACAATCTCGTTTTCTTTCTTTTGCATTGGCGTGCCCACGATGGAGAAAGAAGATCGAAAAGGTTCCGGAAATCTGCTTAAAAAATGTCAAGACCATTGCCAGGAATTGTCCAACTTCGTAATATAGCCAATGTCATTTTCCTGAAGTAATTGTACGCTTGACAAGATTATCTCAAGCGTTCTAGGGCGATAGGCAAAGCCAATCGTCAACTCTTGCGAATCGCATTTCAGAACTGTCGATTTTGTTTGATTATTTTCATATTTTATCAGAGTAAAGAAATCTTATGATTGTCAAAACAACATAAAAAACTAATGGGACTATCAAAATGAGTTAATACGACCAATCACTGTTTGCAGGATTCGAAAGAAAGGGCTTTTCACAAATGGAAAGCATTACTATATTGCGGTCGCCGTCGATTTGCTGATCTTAGCCGTATCATACACTTTGGTGGTGGAAGAGCCTATTTAAGGTACAGATTTGGTTTATTTCCGTCTCGGTTTAGGTAGCACTTTCCAGGGTAATCTAAATCGCATATAAACTGAATTGTCTTAAAAGAAAATTCTTTATTCGTTCAAAAAAATATCATGCTTAAATTTAGGGATGATGTTTGCTCACTAGAAGGATTCACTGTTGCACTTGTTGAAAAATCGAGGTTCTGGAATTCTCAGGTTAATTCACATTAACTGAATTTTACTAGAAAATAACTTTTGAACGTAGAAAAGATACTGAACATCTTAGATCCACTTATGTCCTGCTTAAAAATTTCAAAATAAATGATTGAAGCTATTACTAATATTTAAAGTATGCTGAGTCACACCCGAAATTTTTGAAATAACCGATTCAAATTCTTATCAGTCCCAAAAAATGGATACGAAAATAAAGCTGCTTTTCAGGAGGTAGTCGAACTTATCGAGAACAACATACAGTGTTTCGATATAGATTATCTCGCCACATACTTAACATTAGAAAATACAAATGAAGTTAAAAAACACTTCCATAAAGATTATGTGATCGAATTAAACCGCATGTTAGATACAAGTATTCATCGTAATTGATTTGAATATTCTCAGCATTAGGGACTTCTCGCTTTGAAGTGACTTCGCTTTTTTCCTAATTTACTTAGGCTTCAAGCAAATGCTCAGCATATTCAATATTTAATATTCAATATTGCTAACTTCGAGATTTTTCACTATTTGATGCCTTGGTATATCTAACAGAAAGTTACTAACGAATCTTGATCAGTGATAAGTGGGTAGTACTACTATTTTATTTCGAATGTAACTTTTTTCTTAAAAGACAAGTTAATATCGTTAACTAGACGAGTGCTCTAAGTAGTGAAAAAAATATATCCAAGTGTACATCCAAAGTTAGTACTGCAGTGCTCCGCTGTATTCTATTTTTAGCATCCAGCTAACGTTATTCTTTATGTTCTTTGAGGTTTGAGGTGAAACAAGCTAAATATTTCTTTGTATATTGTGTGTATATGATATCCTTATATATCACACCAAAGATGCTGCATCTATAGGACGTTTGAAATCGACTAATAAAACATGCATGTACATTTCATGAATTTTTGCCCCTCAAAAAACGAAGATTTAATATGACTGTATAGAGACGCAACACGCCAATTGTAGGACATCAGTCAATGTGAATTAAAGCAATCTATATGGATAATCATGTTCATGTGATAAAAATCCGCTCAGCTTAAAAGTAAAAGAAATTAATCGAACAAATTCAAATCTAAAACAATCTAAAACATCTTAATTCTGCGATTATTTCTACAGAAGTAATTGAGAAACTATCAAATCAACTAAAATCATTTATTTTCAAGATGCAATTTGGAAAGAGAAAGATAGGCCACTGTCACAAAATCATTCACAGAATTCTCCACAATTTTTGTTTCATCTATAACAATTTTTCTCTTAAAAAATGGACAATTAACAACGAACGTTTCATATTCACCACCCTCACCACAAATGTGAACGCCGTATCGGGTACTGAGGTCCAACAGAATATCCTTCATCTAAAAACAGACAAGGATGGTAGAATATTGTCAATTCAGTGCATATGAATGAATCAGTTTTATACAATGTGGTGTGTCACGTATTCGAGATAAATCGTTGCAACAAAATCCCAGATAAAAAAAATGTACCTCGCTTAAGGATTTCCCGAGATGCTCTGTTGATAGACCTAGTGCAGCCACTTTAACAATAATTGCTTCAATTCCGGATGAAATGATTTCGTTGAACAGCACAGCTTCGTCAGAGTTCCACAAGTAAGTTAATGATTCCAAATTCAATCTCCGACACACATTCTGAATGCGATTTCTCTGATAGTTACTCAGAATAGCGCCGCTAGAAACAGCTGTAAAGATTCAGAAGTATCAAAAAATTAACTATAAATCAGATGTGACCACACAAACTTAAAATTAAAAGAATGGCCTAGGAGAAATAGGGAATGAGAAATATTCTTGGTGTTAAAAATTATCACCAATAGTGAGCAGAGTCTAACAGCATATTCACATGTTCCCAAAAGAAGCTAACAAGAATTATAGCGCATGAACATCAGATATTTTAGAACATATGCAGAAGGCAATACAGTTATGATTTACGTGACTATAACCTTTCGAAATAAACATTTTTGAGGAATTTTATCTGGCTACTAAATTAATCATTTTCTAAGAAAAAACCATTCTGCAAAATGATAACTTACCCTCAATATCAGGATGTTTCTGCTTGACGAACGCAAGCAACGCATACAGATCTTCCACTTCATCATTACTTGCTTCTTCATAAAAGACACCTGTATTTATCGGTCTTCCTTGTATTTCGCGACGATAAAGCGGGAGATCACAAGCTTCACTGTATAGCTGAAGTAGATACCATGCAACTAAAACAAAAATTGTCGTGTTCATTCTTCAATGTAATACGGAGTAGAAAGCGAAAAGTAATCGTAATTATCAAAATGAGTTCTCCATCCACCTGAATGTCCCATAATTAATCTTAGTTGCAATTAGGATAATCTTAGAGCTCAGGATTGGTTTAAATAATAGGATCATTTCATATAATCTATAAACAAGTAGAGATAATGATCACTGCATTACGTACACATCTGCTCTGAATAGTCGACATAAGCGTAAAATGTTTTGAGAGTCTGCTTTAAAAAAATGGAGAGAAATGTGAATAAGAAATTACCTGAAGTGCTGTGTGGGCGACACACTGATACATATAACTATCCATCTCCTCGCTATCACTCGGTGGATGTAAATTAGCAAGACATACGACATCGTGTCCATCCTTCATACACATCATCAAACTGTAGCAACTATCCTTCCCTCCAGATGTCAACCCAACCACTTTCATCGATTACCCCCGCTCTCCAAATCAGTATGCACTGAATTACGCACCCAACTATTTGCAATGGTTCCCGCTCCACAGCTCGTGAAAAACTGTCTCTGTCCTATGAACAGTAATTTTGGGTTCTTTGGGAGAGTTGTCAAAAGTGAGTGCGATGAATGCCGTGTTTATATTGTATGACGTTTAAAGACATTGTATGATTCAACGTAATTTGCGCTACGAGATTTTTTCATCTGTCTAAGCGTATTTTATTTGAACTACTTTCTTCTCACAGTTAAAAAATTTCTATTCGCTTTATACAGTTTCGTGAATTTTCAAAATTCTTATGTTGTGTTTTTCTTCAGAATTAATTGGTTTGAATTATGGCTATTCGTTGTCAGTTTGAAGCGAGTAATGAAGTCGGTGTTTTTTGCAAGCTAACTAACAGTTATTGTTTGGTTGGAATTGCGGCATCTGAAAACTTTTACAGGTTAAACAGCTGTTTGTATTCGGCTTATTAGCACTTTTATTCTTCACTTGGTTGTGTTTTGTCTTCTTCTTATTCTTTTTGATATTATGCCTTTTCTTAGTTATCTTTCAACCCGATGGAAGTTTTTCTTAAATATCTTCTTAGGAGTAAATAATATTATAACTGGAGATTTAGGGCAGTATATTAAAGATGACCGTAATTTCCCATATTATAAAGTCAGTAAACTTCGCTATCTTTATAATCATTTATCCAGCAGCATACTTTTGAATTTTGACTTTTGAGGTTATAATACTTTCAGTGTGGTGGAAGGTGAGCTGGCTGACGTAATCCCAGTGATTCACTGCTCCATTGCTGGAACTCGAATCGTTGGACGAGTAGCGGTTGGTAATCGAAATGGATTACTGGTGCCGAACGATACTACTGATCAAGAATTACAGCATCTCAAGAACAGGTTATTATTTCATCCAGAAATATACAGAGTTTAATAAAATGTCATGTTTACAGTTTGCCGGACAATGTAAATGTAAGGAGAGTAGATGAGAAATTATCTGCGTTGGGAAATGTCATTGCGTGTAATGATTATGTCGCATTGGTGCATCCTGAAATCAGTAAAGAAACAGAAAAGGTATAATGGTTTTCTTCAATTTTTATATTCCTTTTGTATTTTTATATGTTTTATATGCCCAAATTGTTTTTCTAATTTGTTTTGGACCATTTTTTTAATAAACACAAAAAAACGGCATTATTAAAACGGGGGTCCTTCCTTGGTTAAGAGGGATAAGACATAGCTCAACTGTAGTTCGCATTTAGTTGATTTCATACTGAGAATAGGTGTTTCTCTGGAAAAACCAGAAATTAAAAGTATAACCGCTCTTTTGAAAACTGTTTGCACAGCTAGCATTTTTTTTTCAATCATCTTGCTCTTTTTTATTGAACTTTTTAACTTCTTTGCAATTTCAGGCGCTAGAAGAAGTTTTACAAGTGGAAGTTTTTAGAATGAGTTTGGGCAACCATGCTCTAGTAAGTTATACATCATAACAGATTTTCAAGTTATTGAAATAAACATAAAATTTTCTTTTGTTTGGGTCAACTTTTTGTTTCTTTAAAATTTATTCAAATATATATGACTTCTCTCTCATGATGTCTGTCTATATTTCCAGGTCGGTTCATATGCTGTTCTTAGCTCCCAAGGAGCTCTCGTGGAAGCCAAAACTTCTCCTCAAATACAACGCGAATTGGCTACTTTGATTCAGGTCCCCGTTGTCGCAGGCACCGTTAACAGGTAATTTTTGTTGTCTGAGAAACACTCTGTCTCCGGGACAGCTGACTTCATTTGTTTCTTCCAGTTTTTTTGCTTTGTTGGGATTACCATTAAATATGATTTAACGCTAGATAACCACAACACAACACGAAGTTAGTGAACTAAAAAAAACTTGTATTTCCACACATTTGAAATAGTTTGAGTTCTTATGCATCAAATTGAGATTCTTCACCTGTACTTTTTTTTGAAAAAAATCCGTTTGTTATTACCACCTTACTTGTGCATATAGTGCAGAGAGTGGTATTTTAAAAGAGTACCCGTATTTTTTACATAAATTATTTTTTCGGGAAAATATTAATATTGTAGTATGTAAGGAACAACTCCTTGCAACACAAAAATCTGAGACCAAGCTATTTAGACATCCTCTAATATGCTAAATGCCGATGGCACCACGTGTTGTAGATAATATATTTAATTGAATGGTATGCTATGATTTCACTTTACAGAGGTTCGGATCTAGTTGCAGCTGGCCTATGTGTAAACGACTGGATCGCTTTCGCCGGTCTCGACACAACAAGTACGGAACTGTCAGTCATTGAATCTTTATTTAAACTCGGTGATCGTGAGGTATCAGCCATTACAGGTGACATGCGTGATGCCTTGATTGATAGTACCATATAATGGAAGGCATATTTCTGTGGATAATAGAAATATCATTTTCCCGGGGGGCACATGTTTACCAAGATTTAAAGAATTTGTAAAAATTCTTCAAATCCTTTTCATTCTTGTATAATGAATGATATTATTTTCCATGTTTCATTGATTCGTCTGTATCTCTAATTGCTTATTTATCCTTCCTAGGATATTGTTTTTAATAGCATTCTTCCAATTTTAAATTTTAGTCGTTTCCAGTCATCAAAGTTGTTGATAGTGAAGTAACTAATTGCAAATTCTCGCAAATTAATATGCATTTCGAATTCACATAAGAAGACGAATTACAATTTCCGAGAAAGAAAAAAACTTATGGTCTTTTTAGTTCCGATTCTGTCTTTCGGTAGCTGTGAAATTAAACTATGTCGAGGCCGGCATTTCAGCATGCTGGTAAAATTCCATTTGATCTGGCAAGATAACAACGGGAAGACGGGAAACTCTCAAAAATTGAAACCTCTGTAGGTCATTTTATAATATTAGACAATCCTTGAAACAAAAGAAGTACATAAGTTATGCAGGACAAATGAACACTTCCTGATAGGGATGTGAATCTTAAAGAAAAGGAGTTAGTCGAAATCTTTTCCGAATTTATTTTAGATACAAAGATCTTCACAAAATTGAGAATTTTAAATTCAGAAGTGAGTAATTATGACTCATTGTTACACTGGTAACTCTGACCTCATAGTAGAAAACAAGTATGAAAGTGATACACAATTGTATCGATTGTCAGCAATATACTGATCGCATAATGAGAGTAGTCCAGCGAGCACAGCACTAGCTTCCTTCCAACCATTCCAGCATCGTAATTTCACTGCAAAAGAACATCGAGTAGTTTTTTGTGTTCTGGGGAGCGGTCATGATTTACGTTAGTTCCAGGAACAGGAAGTATGGACTTCAGAATGACTAGCCATTTAGTTTCTTAATGAAACATTTCCTATTAGAAAATTTTAACGAGTCTTCTTGGTATTCGTGTGCACATGTTCCATGCTTCAGATATATATTAAAATATTAAGTGGTATATGTATATGTCTTAGGACATTTCTTATCAGGTACTATTAAATCATGAAATATATTATTCTGTAAAGGAACCTCAAAATGTAAGACAAATCAAAATAAAACGAACTTCTCTGTTCTTCTGTAAAGTTATCCATCGCCTTCGTCACATCAAACAATTTTTGATAGAAAATCAACTGTTCATAAAGCCTTTTTGATGAATACTGACATGAAAAGATAGAAGTATAAAAGTTGTGTGCATATATGAATTCAAATTTTTATAAACTTCTAACAGCCGAAAAACGCTGTTAACATGTGAAGAATTTATAGAGGTGCACTTTTGTCTTTATTGTTTGTCAAGCATTGAATTCTTACCTCCCTTCTCATAAATCCACTTTTGCACTTAGGACATTGAACACCTTCTCTTGTCCATGCCAAAACTAATGTGCGCGTACGATATGCACAACCAATATCATCACATACATATGAAATCTAAAAATAGCGGTTACGAGAGTCAACTGAGAATTTTATAAATTCGAAACTGAAGGCATCTGAAGCACTAGTTAATAATTTGGTGAATGAAGCTTGCCTTGTAATAGTCAGAAATCACTTTGTCAAGAGTTAATTGCAACTGGTTATATAAATATGCACCAAAATATAATAAAGAACTGTGACAAATGGAACACTCGCTCAACCATAGTTTTTGTCCATCGCTGTCCTATAAAATCATCAGAAATACCATATGAGTCATATGGTTTATATATCATCAGTGTCACCAGTCAAATTTTCCTTTTCTAATAGTTGTGCAACTATAAACTGGGAAAAAATAGCATGACATTCTCGAAGGAAGTGAATAAGGCTCTAGTGCTGTGCTAAACATATCATCGGATATGAAGTGTGTCTCATAAAATAGTAATTAAAGAAAGCTTACATCTTGTATTACGCATTCACGAATAAGAAACACATGTCCACAGCCGTGGTTTGGACACACGAACTTGAACGATTCACAACTTTCAAAATTATAATGTGGAAAACACAGGGACTCTTCTTCCCTACTCACATTTTCCTCATATATAACATGTTTCCGATATGCCAAACTATCCAGACCTACGATAATCGTCTGGTATATTCATATTAGTATATATCATAATGATTCTATGCTAGTATCAATAAATCTTCTAAAGCAAAAAAAAATTCTAAAGAAATACTAAAAGTTTGTAAATAAAGATAAATTTTAAAAAATTTGGCAATATGAATTATAAGTCGGTTCATTTATAGTTTAACAGATTTTAATCATAATTTTATTTTAAAAGATTCAAAAATTTTAATTTTCCTTTAAAACAAACCCAATGCTTCAGCTATCCAGGCTTCACTACATTCTTCGATTGGAACACACAGCCTGCTTACAACTGGAAGAATCTGCTGCGCAAGATAATAGTGATAATCTAAAAAGCATCTTTTCGTTAAAAGCATATTTCCCAATAACAAATGTTCTGAAAAGATAGTCACATTCAACAAATGAACATTAACCCTTCACAGATACAAAGAAGCTGAAGAGTTATTTCTCACCGACTCTAAGATTCTTGTTTTCCTGAACTTCTGTTAAATGATAAGCACGCTGAGCAGCCGATTTACCACTACCATCCTGAAATTTAAGCTTGAAAAGTAATTTTAGGTATCATAGCATTGTCAAAAGTCTGCATGAAATTTTTTCTTTTTTATAAAAAAAAGAAAACAAACAATACCATGAAGCACAAAACGCATGAACATCCCATCATACTTTAAAAATGGAAACCCGGGATGGGAAATTTAACAGCAGTTTGCAATGATCAATAAAGTCATTGGAAAAAGCATGTTTTAAATAAAGGTCAAATCATGAATTAATTCGTATATACCTCGCAAATTATATAGCCAACCGTATCACCCCGATGAAAATTGAATTTCCCGGTCGCATTCAGACGCTGAGCAACAGCCGCATGAGGCTGAACACTGATATTTGCATACTCATCGGGTTTCCGAGTTAGCTGCTAAAAATGAGTTATATAGAGGTTAAAGTTTATTTTTAAACTCGAAGTTATCAAATTAACAAACCTTAAAAATCTGAAATATTGACATTTCCAGCAGTTCTTGTGTTATGTCATCTTTCAATTTTCGGAGATGACTGTGAATCTGTTCAATGATTTCATCACGATTTTGTGATTGCACCGACAGGATTATATCCAATATTTCACTGCAAAAATAAATACTCAAAAATTTTTAAAATCCCGAGAAAATTTAGGAAAAATATTTGCCAACTTTATCAAACTCGATAAATTGTTTAAGCAAAACATAAAAATATGATATTACTTTCCAATCTCTTTTACAATGATCGAATAATCGCGACGAACAATGTCCAGACCCTTAATTTCACGTTTTGTTTTCTGCTCATCATTGAGATCGACAGCTAAACCAGCATACTTTTTCTTTTTCAGTAATAATAATTTGATAAATATACCATCGATATCAATTTCCAATTTTTTATAAGACTGGTTTATAGTTTTTTTGATCTGAAAACGATGTCAATTGAGAGTGATAAAAATCTAGGACAACTAAACATGATCATGGTGATTGATATGGAAAAAAGAAGGCCAAAATCCCACAGATTCGATATCTACCTTTGATTATTATTTTCGATAAAAAAAATTCCGTGTGATGGATGATATGAAAAACCAAAAAATGATCAAGTCACAAGAATTTCAGACTTAAAAATAAAAAATTGAATTTTGCAATAAATGCTTGCATCGTTCCCCAATTTTTTTACATGGTGCAGTTTCGACCGTTCCGAGAATCCAGTATTAATCATCACCGAATCAGTATCACCATAAATAACAGAATAACCGCTCTTTTCGATCAAGTCCTTCGTGTGCATAAGAATCTGCAGAACAATTATAGCATCTAGTAGATTCATCGTAGAGTGAAAACACTGTATTTTAAAGCGTACAAAGTTGCACGACTCATCATTGAAGTAAGTTAAACATATAACAGAAGTGCTATAAGGAACTGCAGTACATTCAATACTGAACGCTATTGGTACAAAAAAAAATATAAAAAAAATACTTCACGTCCTTGAGCTGTTATTAGTGCAGCCAGTGGTTTCGCGTAAAAACGGGATTGTTGGAATCCGAGACATCCATACATGCTGTTAGCTGTTAGCTTTAACCCCATTTGACGAATATCATACTTAAAATATCTTTGTATAAAATCTAAAATAAAAATCTTTCCTAGACCATTTTTTTACAAAATTTCTACGTAAGAAAACACTTCAAACATGAAAATCGATAACAAATATAAGAAAGGATGACTGCGCACTTATTACTGCCAAACAATAAAGCTACTGTTTGTTTGATATGATTTGTTTAATATGTCAAATATAATAATCTGGACTAACAGGCAGTGAATATAACAACAATTTATAATTGATATTGTAAAGACAACGAGGCTTGACTGAACAAAAAAATATAAAACTTCAAAATTCGATAATTAGCGTATCTTGATACTTTTCTAATCTTACGCGTTATTCATTGGAGAAACTGATAGGAAGTAGCGATTAAATTGTACCTGCTGCCTTTGTTGCTGTGTAAGCTTTTCGGATTTCATAATCTTTTTTACATCACGTCTCCTTTCCACTAAAGATCGAATTTCTCGAGGAAGTATGCCTTCATTTGTATCACTCGGCAATTCTGGCATTTCATCTTTATCCTGCAATTTTTTAAAATTTTAAATATTAGCTTATTTTATTTAGAAAAACCTCGAACTGCGAAAAATTGTAGGTAAAACATTCCCTATGCTAAGCAGATGAATGATGCCATCACCCTTGAAATTCTGGAATAAATTTCAACAAACCTTTTTGGACATATCAACAGTTGTAAAACAAATGTTATATTCCTGAATGATACTTGGATACAAACTATTGAAATCCAATAATAATATAAATGTGTCGTATAAGCCTGAAAAGAAACCGACTTTAAAAATTAAGCATTCGTTTGAAAGTAGATTATAGCAATTTGAAAAACCAAATTTCTCAAAACCTATTATCCAAATTTCTTAATTTAGAAAGCTAACCTATTTTCGGGTCCAGTACTAAACCACCCGCATACTGCCCTTTGCGATTATGCAGCATTTTATTATGATCTTTCGGATGATTGTCAACAATTCTGGTGCTTTCCAATTCAGATTGTTTCCTTTTCTTGAAATCTGGTTGATACTTATTTGGTGCCACATAACCAGCTTTGTTGAATGCATGCAATAATAAATATTCGTTTCGTTCCGCTTGTCCACCCAACATTGTTCTCGACTAAAGGATAAGAATAATGTCGGAATGACAACTAAATTAGATTATAGATTAAAAAAATGATGAGTGTTTAACACCAATTCATTATCGCCATAATCCATATGTTTCAACAAAAATTCTCACCAATACACCACCCACAATTTTTGTAATTTGAATAAATAACGGCAAAGCATTGAGCTCGACAATAATAGCAAGGGATAACCAAGCATCCATCCAAGTATTGTGTATAAATCTAATCAGTTGCGCTGAATTCCTTAAACGAATCTGTGCAATATTTGTGACAAATTACTGTTGATATATCACAATGCTACTAAGACTGCATATCATTCAATTAGCCATCAAACAGTAGTTAGATTACATGTTGGAAAGATGAAAGAAAGAGAACATAATGAATAAAGTTCGCATTATCAGTGATGAAAATAATGTATTAATTTGGATAAGCTTCCAGTCACTGAAGTAGTTATGTTCCAAAAAATCAATATTCTTCAAAACAAAATAATCCAAAATTAAGAATTAGAAAAAAAAATCGAAACAATTGAAAGAATTACGCAAAATATGCTGAGATATCTTGTTTCACTGCAAAATGATCATTTATTCCAAGTAAATCAGATGATAGATCAGAGAGGTCATAGCTTCGCATTCTCACCAGCTCCATAGCTGATAATCTGAAAGTATAGAATTTATTTAAGGATACTGCTAATCAAATATCCAACACAATCCAAAACAAACAACCAATAATACTGCAAAAAAATACAGTCGACTTTCACTTCTCATTATAGAGATACTTACCCGCTATAATAAGGATAAAAATACTATAATGATTGTTCAAAGCACTAGAACAATATCACCTGCTATCTAGAACTAAACGTCCAGCTGTTAGCTCCCATTGTGAAGTTTTCATATGAGCTGCTTGTCTAACTGTAATTGAGCGCTTCAAACGACCCAGACGTGACCAATGAGTGATACCGAGTTTTTCTAGACGTGATGATAATATAGCAAGTTGAGCCGCTAAATCGTGCCCCTAAATAAGATTGAATTTCATTAGTTCAAACGATAAATCGGTAAGCTTCCCGATACTAATGCATTTTTTCATAAAATGTTGAAAATATGTCAAGTCCACAACACTTCGAATGTAAAACAAAAGAAAGCTCAGTTCAGAAGTCCTGGGTAAACACAATAAAACAACTGAAATTCTAACCTCATCAATAAAATTTTGAAAACAGCAGAAAACTTACCGCATATGCATCGGGATCCAAATTTTGCAATTTACACAAGAAATGATTAAGCAAATGACGCTCATTCGCTGTTTCGTAAACAACAGTGTCCATTCCCATTTGCTTCAAATTTATTTTAAAATCAAACGGATATGCAGAAAGGGTTGGTTTTGTAATAACTGAAAAAAATTCTTCTTTGATGATAAGGAAAAATAATGATTTCTATAGCTTTATTTCATTCTAAAAAATATAAGTAAAATATTATGTCAAGAAGTACGGAAGATTCCTTTGGGACATAATTTTTACTCATAGTTTAAACATGTTAAAACACTTACTGCAGAAGCGTTCCAAAAAATTTCTGTTTAAAGTTGGATTTGTAATTGTACATTTTCGGTCAAATATACAGGAAATTGAGACAATCTGGAAAACAAGGTTAAAAGAAAAAAAGAAACTTTCAAAAATTTCCCAATTGGAAATTCGAGAAAAAATTTTTCATCAACTGAACCTCGCTTTCCTTCTTATGGTTGACGGCAGTGATTACATTCATCGTCAATAAATTTATTTCAGGCGGTGGGTCTGAGCAATCAACTACGAAAACCGACTTCATTCGTTCCATATCAACCACAAATTCATGTTTGACATAACTTACTTGAACAGAAGAGACATCTAAAAATACTACATGAATCATAAAATTTTTTGAACAGCTGAAAAATTATGTTCCAAAATTGTACTAAACTATTATTTTTCAAAAACAAATAACAAATAACAAAATTATAAAATCCCAAAAGACAATAATAGAGAATTTATTTAAAAAGTCTACATACAGCAGCCAGAAATTTCTATCCACGATGGTCCTTTCATGCCCGTTTCAACCAACAATCTTTCCATGGCATTAGCAGTTGTATTAAAAACATGACTAAATGTTTCTCCACTGAGATCCATTGACAATCGCTGATCATTAAACTTCAAATTGTTACATTCTTTCAATTTACAGTTTACATAAAATGGAACTAAAATCTCACTGCACTACTAGTTTTATATATATGATGCATTAATGTTAATTTTTGAAAACGAAAAAATACTGAAATCTAACATCCAACAAGTTTTAAAATTTAAAACCGATATTAAATGAAAATACTGAACTCTTGTGAACTTACACTATAAAGCACTTCAAGCACTTGAGCACTCTGAGGCACGACTCCATCGTTGTATGCAAATTTTTTTTCACATGGCTGAAAAATTTTAGAGATTTAAATCTTGTATAAACCCTAATTGGCTAAAGTTATCACATGAAACGCAACTGAAAATAAAAAGTTATTCAGCAACTTATACCAACTGTCTTCACCGTTGATAAACATTCCATCTTTATATGAAAAAACGCAGTGTTTTTAGGTTTATTTGAATTTTCTACAATTATGAAAACATACGGTTGCGATAACAAAACAAAACAGAACTGCTCTTATTATTTTAAAATGATATGATATTAATAATGCATTTTATTAGAAAACCTGAATTAACAATTACAAAATACAATTAGGGAAATTAACCCTGCATTTGACAACTTTAACGCCCATCGATCTGAGTATTTGTTGGACTTCTTCATTGACTTGCATTAAATCCACTTCATCGGTTTGTACTTCATCCACTAAGTGCTGAAAATAAATTTAGAAAAAGCTGCAGCAAGAGGATTTAGCCCGTTTACAAATAATTAAAATAAATGATTAAGAAGGTATTCAAAACCGGTACCACAAAATACTTGAAATATAAGGTATGTTATAACATACAAATATGCAAGTGAGCATGAATCATTCTGAACCTTTTCACGAGGTAAAAAAAAAACTTTTCGCCATATATTTTTGACAACCACGCAGCAACTTTCGGAAATACCATCGTTGATCAAACGACCAAAAAGAAAAACGGTTCCTAAAAAAAAATTTTAAGGACTCAAATTACAAGCATTGCCAAAAATTTTATTGCTCAAAACATTAGTATTTAGATTTAGAAATTCTGAAGGGTACTTGAAGAAAAATTAAAATAAATATCAATAATCTCAAAAAAAGTAATTTTTCGAGTACATATATTAACTATTTTATACTAAAACCATTTCTTAGGAAAATATTATTTCATTATTCAATGAACGCATATATTTTTAACAACAAATTGAAAGAGTCGATTGTGCTGCATTTAATCCAATAAAATAATAATGAATATCAGCTTCCGCACAAGAAAAAGAATGCCGACTGGTGAATTTCGTCAATGAATCATCAGTCGGCATTTGTATAAGACAGAAAAATAGGCGCAGCAAACCTGGTATTTTAACAGGATCTTCGAACGCATCAAGCCAGTAAAATCGCAACACTGATTCTCCCTCTGAATTTGTACGCATAAAAGAACCACATGTAGCAGCAACACTATCTTTTATAGGTTGTTCATCTTGTGTCTCCTTCTTAAACTCGCTAAATGGCAAAATAGGTTTAGTCAAAAATATTTGGAAATAAAAGTTTAGGATGCTGAATGTATCATTATTTGAGTTTTTTCTATCATTAACAAAGTTAAAAAAATAATACCTATCAGCCCAAATGAAAGATGTTGCTGGCTGTACAACTTTCATGACACAGTTGTCGGAGTATTTATTTATAACAGAATGCACATCCACAAAACTCTCTGCACGTGTAGATTCATATGCGGACTTCTGCGTATCCAGAAAATGAATTGTCATTTCAATTTTTTAAATGACATTTTTTCATTTCATATTTAATAGTGAAGATAATTCTTAATTTTATATCATAACTTGGCTTCCATTCATTTTAATTATAGAATAATAAACCACTGAATGCATCGAATGTACAGAACAATAATGACGGCTTTCAAAATCACTGACTGTTAGGAAAGCTAACAGTACAGCACCCAAAAATCCTGAGAGTTTTCATTCGTTCGATTTCCCTTTATTCACATATTTATCATTACTTAGTGCTTCTCTTTATCAAACTTGGTCTTTTTTGACTGTCTTAAACAATCACAAGTCCTTTTTTGAGTACCTTTTCAACGTTTTCTTGAGATGTAGATTCCAAATTCGTTAAATTTATTGCATCAATTACCGCTGGCATCCGTGCAGTCATATTCAAACGTTCCCTGTAATCGCTAATCTCTTTCACTTTCGTCTGCTTTGATACTGTTTCCGGATCCTTCAGATATTGGTTCCTGCAAAATCAAACTTTAAGCTAAATAAAAAACGTTTACAAGATGCACCGAACAGGTAAAAGCTGAAAGCAGTACATTAAACTATCATATCTATCATTCTACTCTCTTTCTGAACTAGTGTCAGATTTCAAATTTGAGAAATTAAGAACATGCAGATTATCTAAATAAGAGAACAACAATTATTTTTGATTCCAAAAAAATTAAAATATTTAAAAATCTCAAGATCGTTAATACAGAGTAATGATAAATCCTATGAGTGCAAATACAAACCTAATTAACGACACATTGTCGGTTTTGGAACCAGACACTTTCTCAAATGCATTTTTTTTCAAAATGCCCGACAAATCACATTCATTAAGTAATGCTTCTACATCAGGGTCATCAACCACAGTCACTGCATTCTATAATAACAAATGTTTTTGCATTGGATTTAAGATACCTTCAAGGTTTCTTCAATTCATTTCTCATACTTGGAAGATAAACTGCAATGCAGCAGCACTTTGCTAATAAAAAGCAAATTTTTTTTCCTTCTCTGTCGCAAAATTATCTCTTTTTTCTGTTCATAATAAAATCAGAAAATAACAAGAAACGTACCTCTTTTTTTACTTTTTTTGTGTTTAAACCATGAAAAAAATCGTCAATCGCTTTCCGCTTCGATTTATCTGAATCAAAAATTTACTGTAAATTTGGTTTTCCACGACTAGTAATAGTCTTAGTATGTTAATCTTACAAAAACTTAACATGGAAAACTTAATTCCGATGACCTTAAAAGTTACTATACTTATCTATTTCGCATTTTTCTAAAAAATTAAGATAATTAAATGAGTTTGTTACCTTTTTCCTTCTTCGGCTTTTTTGCTTTACTTGTCCTAATGTGTTGTTCTTCGTCGAAAAAATCAACACCATGATCAACATAGCCACTACCATCTGGAAGGAGAATTACCAAAAATTCTTAAATTTCTGACAGTGCTTTAATTAAATCGCATCAAAGCTCATAAACATCATTGATACAAAAAACAATTAAACAAAAATTTAAATCAATGGAATTCTTTATGGATTCTGATTTTATAACATCAAAAAAAATTAAAATTAAGCAAAGCTTCATTCAAACACGGACCATCATCAACCACAAAATCGTCCTTCTGCCGTTCTCGTACAATTTTCATATATTCCTCTTCATCCACTTCCTCATACACAGGTTTTATCAAATTCGCTACCTAAAATAAGCAAGAACAGTGAACGACATTTCTGTCTCCTCGACATCTAATTATACGGACAGGAGGAATTACAAACTGCAGTTTGATAAAGGTTTAAAAGCAAAAACATACATCTACTCGATGTACGCTACCGGTGTCCCGTGCTCGCTTCATTTCTTCTAGCGCTCGATTTTTTGACTCTTGTTCACGTGATAAACATGACCTCCGACTGCTACGTCGTTCATCAACTGCAATCGCAGTGTAGGGATTCCGCACGACTAGTTCTTCATCGGAGGATGACGACATGCTTGCGTTAATGACCACTTAAAAACAGTCTTAACCATACAGCATTATAAAGCATTAAACCGTTTTGTAAAAATACGCAATCTTGGTAGGAACATAAGAAAAGCATTCAATCCACACACAATAATTAACCTTTTCGGTTAATAAATTAAAGAAAAACATTAATCCACGGCATACGTAGCAAACATGAAGCATATCGGATGTAAATAGCATTTGAGGTATTTTAGTATAGTGTCATATCATACACTCTATAATTCAGCAGATTAATAATGCTTGAAGTAACTGTAAGAAAAAACCTTATACAAGCCCTTCGCTATTAAAAAAAATTCAAATGGAGATTTTCCCACGCTAATTGCGCAATAGACCATTGTGAAAACCTGTAATCTCGTTAACAACCAATAAAGGAAGTTACCAAGATTGGACAGTTGACAGTTGAGGTGGTGGATGCTTTATATATTTTGATAGCAGCTTGGAGACAATAGAACGGAAGGCGATGGGAAATATAAGTCTCAGGAAGAATTAATGCCTACAAATTCATACGAGTTTTAAGCGAGATTGATTGCCTGCAGTATTCATAGTATCTAGCATCACGCTTTCTCAATTAAATATTAAAGGCT